CTACTTTAAGGACCTGAGCTTGTGATATGCAAAGCTAGCTCCAGTATCTCTTTGTTCTTCCTGTGTTTATGTCCGCTGAACAGAATTGGGGTGTTACAGGACATTTACTCGAAAAAGGTTTTGACCTACTCATTTGATGAGACTTACTACATTTAGTATCCCCCCCCAAAAAAAAAGAATCTAAACAGTATAACAACTCCTCTGGTGTTTATAAATGTATATACCCAAAGCTATATTATTCTAGGAATAAAAGAGTACGAATAAGTATGACTTATGTAGCGTCCTTGTATCTGTGAACTTGAAAACGGTATGTCTTAGTTTTAGATGGACATTTTAGAAAAGAATTCCATGAAATTGAAACAGAACACTGGGAGAGAATAATTTTAGCTTGCAATTGAATATTATGTGATCGCCCTCCTAAATGTGCTTTTTTTTAATCTTACTTATCACTTATCATATCTTTTTATCTTAATTCCTTTAATTCATAAAGTAATTTCTGAAAAATGGAGAGGACAGTTTTCTCTTGATGACAAGTGATGCTTAGAATACTGTTTTGCGGTAATTTTCTTAAAGTTTTTTTTTTTTTTTGGAGGGGGGGGGGGGGGGCGAGTGCTGAGTAACATAACGCAGGAGATAAGGCAGTCATTTACGTCTCCTGTGCATTGTATCAGCAATCTCTCTAGCCCAAGTGTATACAAATATAGACTGTACAATTTTGAAAGGGTGACGCATATTGCAACTTGTATTACTTAGGCTTCAGATAAAAGCTAATATTGATTTGGTTCTTCTCATCCTCCTACGCTTGAACATAAATGATATTTTTTGTGTCATTGAAGAAAGAATCGAATCAAAAATGTTTCACAATAGACTGGCAGTTGTGCTCGTTTCTCACTTCTAAAATGTGTGTTTTCAGTCTGGCAATTGAGATACACCTACAGCCCAGAGCACAAAATTGGAATTTGAGACCAAGCAGCGTGTGGAGAACCTATAGAGTTTAAAAACAAGCAAAAAGCACGCACACACACACGCATGCACAAAAAAGAAAAAAAACAACCCTTCTAAACAATTGGAGTGCATTTATTTGTAAATTATTTCTGCCATATGTAATGCAGGCTGACCCTGTGTAAGATGCACAGCTGAAACTATTAGGAGTGGGAGGGAAGCAGGCAGAGGGAGGAGACTTGTTCTGGGGAGAGAAGTCAGTGACAGAAAGCAAGATCAAGAAAATAATTTTATTTAAATGAAAGCATAATCTGTTCAAGAAGCTTCTTTCTCTTGATGTTTAGTTATTCTGAGTACTGTCAGAAATGTCATTGTTACTTTACTATAACTGTATGGATGGATTTGGCACGTGTTGATCTGTACGTCAGCTCTGTGTTGAAGCTTGCCATATTTACCATCATGCAGTGACTGGAGCTGGAGGAAAGTGAAACTGTCTGACCTTGAAAATATGATCTGAAGCATTCAGACTCAGATATGTAGCCAAGATGGAGAAGGAGCTGTTGTTATCTGAAGTAAATGTTGGTTATGTGCCTTCCGTGAAGATATCTATATGTGAAATCCTGATTCCCCTCAGACAGGTTTCATTCCACAAGTCTTACCTTGCCCTGCCCCTTGTGGAGCTAGTGCTGGGAAGACCTTTTGGATCAGATAAGCTAAAATTTCTGTAGGCCATTTATATAGAGTATTTTGACTTTAGAACAGCGTATTTGGTAAACATGACTGTGCTTAAGCCATGTTGCTCATCTTCCAGATCTTGAGGCATCCTTTTGTGCGCTCATTCAGCGAACCTTCCCTTTTTATTTTCAGCTATGTCATGGGTCGATGAAATAGGCTAGAGACCCTTTCATGGGTTGTGCCGAAGAGGAAGGAGCCCATCTGTTCATACTGTTCAGGAAAAAGGAATAAGTAAAAAGGTTATTTGAGGGTGATGGTTGTGTTTGGTTGGAGGAAGGACAGGAAGACACCAGCCTTGTAAGCTAATGTTTACTAGCTTGCGAATACTAGCTTGCAAATACATAATTAATTGAGTATATAATATTCCTTAGCAAATCATAAATGTGATGAGTCTAGCCCCAAGGCCCAGAATTTTTCCCTGTTTCAATGCTTCATCAGCAAAGTATAGAAATAAGTAAACAAATTATCTATGCTATTAGACACTGCAGAAATGTTGCTAATGCATTATTAATACATGCTGTAAAAGCTGGATCCTTATTCAACTAAATGTAGCTGAGTGAATGGTCTGTGCTATTTTATAATGCAGCTTTAGTCTGCTGTAGAACACAAAAACAGTTATACAGTGTCAGGCCTGTAATACAGTAGCAGCTTTTCCAGGGCTTTAACATTCCTCCTGTGAATGATTTAAAAAAAAAAAAAATTCCTTTTAAATGAGTCCTGTTCTTTTACCACACGTTCTCCTCAGTTACAGAACAGCCTTTTGTGCTGTATGCAGCGCATGCTATTCAAAATGGAAAAATTACAACTATTCAGCCAGCTGAGCAATGAATTAGTTGAAAGCTCTTCTGGATTTTGCGATGAAAAAAGTATATTATTTATGCAATCTATAAAAGACATAATAAAGAATATAAACTGCATTCCTGAAAGTCTGCTATTGCATTTTTAACAAGCAGTGGCTAGACAGGATAATTTAGGCTGAGCCCTGTGCCGCAACAATGATGGATATCAATCAAGAACAGAGCTCAGAGTTGTGCTTTCCAGGGTTATGAGATCAGGTGGTCTGTCTAAATTTAATATGTCGCCCATAAAGGTTTTGCGTTGCGGTGAGCAACCGGCTGAGAAGGGTTTAAAAAAAAAAAAAAAAGAGAGAATTATACTGAGGTTTGAAATGAGAAGTAGTAACATATGCAGCATATTTTAGATGTGCTTTGATTTTTCAAACTGCAAAACCTTTTAGAAAATCATGCCGAGAGCAGAACAATATGACATGTAGCAGGGAGCTGGTCAGCTTTTATTTACTTTTTTTAAAACTAGCAGTAGCCTGCATGGTTTGTATCCTCCTTTATCAGTTGAAACAGAGGAACATTGTTTACATTGGAAATTGGCCACAGTCCCTTGAAAGGAGAGAGCGATTGTTACTCTGTAGCACGCTACTTTTAAGAAAGTAAAAAATACTTACTTTGTCCTCCTGGACAAGGTAATTTTGCAGAGAGAAGAAAAATGAAAGACCTCTCCCCTGACTCCATTCAAAACTCGCTAGCCTTCCTTTGCCAAAAATGCCACGCAGTCTCATGTTTATACAGAAGGCACTCCGTTCCCAGAAAAGCTAGGTGGTAGTAAACAGGGAAAATGCTTCAAACATGGACAGGACTGTTGTTAAGAGCCAAGATCATATATAAGGAAAGATGACGACGTTTTAAAGCTGTCTAGCTAGTCACTTCTCCAAAGAGATACAATCTTGTTTTCTGGGGGGTTTATGCAGTACCTCTCAGTCAGTAAGATTCTGTTCTGTGATTAGCTGTGCTGATTAGTAATAATATGTAGCTTGCACAGAGCTTGAAGCTAGAAAGGATGAATTTTCTCTGTTTTATCTTATGTGACCCCATTAGTGTGGGATAGACTAAAACATTTTAGCAAAGCTAAATCAGGTGTGCAAAAGCACATCATGCTGCTGTGGAAAGCAGAAAATCATCTACAAGTTGGAAGAAAATTCTTGGCCCCAAGTCGAGTGCTTTGCAGACATACCTAAAGTTACAGAATTAGCTAAGCGTCTTAGGAAATTCTCTACTGCTGCCAGACATTAGTATAGCCTGTCCAGTGCGGGTTCTCCAGTTGTGGCCATCCACTCGAGAACAAGTCCTTAAGAGTATTAGACCCCTGGATCCCTGTCACTTACTGAAACTGAGCATGGAAATGGGAGGGGAGAGGGAGGTTAATAAAGCTGTTTAAAACCAAGAGAACTTGACATAGATGATTACTCTCAATAGTGATAAAGAATGAAACAGCCACCATGATCAAATAAGCAATTTAACATCAGTAGGCCAATGTGAGCCAGCCCTGCGTCTCCTTATAAGATGATGACAGGTCCTCCTTTACGTCAGAAGTCATAACCTCAATAGGAAGATTTGACATCGAAAACTAGAACGCTTACATGATCATACAAAGGTATAATAAGGTTTATTTTAAAAATACAACCCAAAGACCACACATGCATGGGCACATGTGCGTACTCACACACACACACACTCACACTCACACACACACACACACTCTCTCTCTCTCTCTGTCTCTGTCTCTCTGTCTCTGGAATTAGTCTACAAAACTTGGGTATAAGCCAAGTATGTAGTTCATTCATGGAACATGCTAACGCTTTGTACACAAATATTTTTGTGTAGCTCTTTTGACAGCAAATTTGTTTATCAACAACGAGGAGTTGGACCAATTGAACAGAACACAATTCTGGTGCTGAATCCAAGTAATGCTCAACTGCTTCATTCCATGGGCAAAAATCTGTAAGTTATTTTTGCTGTTATTACTAGAGCTGTTAACGTACATATGTGTATCTTACCCTGGAGAGTCCCAAACCCTTTCTTACGTGTAGGTTGCATTATTTACATTACAGCTAGTGTAGGTTACATTAGCTTACTCAGTCAGGCAAAAAAAACCCAATCAACATCTAACTAATAAAACTCATTTGGCATCCTTACCACCTCTACTTTCTAGCAATTCATATAGTTTTATCTACTAGCCAGATTAACAGAAACGCAGAGCTGACGAGTGTTGTATGTTGTCCTTAAAGATACCAAATGTTAGCCCCAGTGAGGTACCAGAGATCGAGGAAATTTCCGAGCTAAGACTCTCGTTGAGAAAATTATATTTTGTAGAGGTATTGTCCTCATGAAATGCTGAGGGTTGTTAGTGTGTAGAGCGTTTGGTGATCTATAGATAAAAAGTGAAATCTGGAAAATCCTCCTTTAAATCACTCTTCCTGAAACAGGTTTTTAACTTGATCCCTCTATATTTGTGTTTGCAGATTTTATTTACCACATGGTTTGAGCATAGACAAAAATGGTAACTACTGGGTCACTGATGTAGCACTCCATCAGGTATGTTTTTGAAGCTTCAATGCCAAGACCTTAAAACTTAGGCCAAAAATAATTTTTACATTTTGCCAGAGATTTGGTATCAGTTGTTTAGCTAGGGCTTTTAAGATGCGCATTAAGAATTTGTCGGAACAAATCGATCCTTATGGCCCTAGTGGAATATACTTGTGTGGAGTAACTTGTTATGTGGACGTAGTATACGGAAATAAAAGTTGCTCTCTTAAAACAATGACTCCTCTGTAAAAGCACAGCTTAGTGTGCTACAGCTGGGCTTGTCAGTTCTTGTATTCTCATACCCTGAATGTGAAGCTAAGCCGTTTACTGTAATAGCAGGAAATTTTTATTTTATGCAGAAACTTCCCAGAATTGGCACTATTACGAAGCTGATAATAGATTTCGTAGTCAATATATTAAGGTCATTTTTGGAATATAAATTTATTTTATACAAAATAATAGATACATTTTCCAGAAACAGTCATCCCTCTTGTATATCATCTTCCATAATTGAAACATCTTATCTTTTCCCATTGACTAAAAAAGGTTTTCAAATTGGGAGCAGATGATAAAGAACCATTACTGATCTTAGGAACGGCTCTGCAACCGGGCAGTGACAAAAATCACTTCTGTCAACCAACTGATGTGGCTGTGGATCCAATCACTGGCAGTATTTATGTATCCGATGGCTACTGTAACAGTCGAATTGTTCAGTTCTCTCCAAACGGGTTGTACATCAAGCAGTGGGGAGAAGGTACAGTTAGAGCTCTTGATATTTAACTGATACTGCTGTGTCATGAACCCGTGTTATCATGAACCATGAGATTGTTGATGATAGCATTACTCTTATTTGTATCTGTTACAGTAATATCTTCAAGGCCCTGACTGAATTTTGGCCTTGTCTCTGCGCGCAGATTCTCTCAGTTCTGATTAACGATAGACGTAGTGGGTATTTTTAAACAGTTTGTTGGCATGCCTTCAGCACGAGTCTTGGCACGTCCTAGTTTATTAATGAAAGTTTTGACTTTCAGAAAAACTTTTGTTTTTTTTAAAATTGGATAAAATAGTGTAAGATTAACTATTTTTAAGGCTTGTGCCATGATGGTGTCCACGTAAAACTGTATGAATAGTTACATTTCTGCCTGACTCAAACTTATGTATGAGGCATTATGCTACCCCAAGGATTTATAGAGAAATAACTAAATGATAAATTCAGATTTTACAAAGGCAGTGTGGAAGGCTACCATAGTTTACCTAAATGAATAAAACTGCTACTGAGGAAAAAAGCAAACCAAGCGAGTTTACTCTTTTCTCACAGTGGAGAAGTTGCACTATGTGGAACGTTGCTATTTCTACTCAGAGATGATAGTTTCGGTGTGTACCTTAACACAAATCTGGATGTTTTGTATTACAGAGACTTCGTTAGACAGAGCCAGACCTGGGCAGTTCCATATCCCTCACAGCTTAACCCTGGTCCCCGACTTCAGTCAGCTGTGCGTTGCCGACAGGGAAAATGGTCGAATCCAGTGCTTTACGTTAGAGACTGGGGAGTTTGTAAGAGAGATCAAGCACAAATCGTTTGGAAGAGAGTTGTTTGCAGTTTCCTATGTTCCAGGTAATTGCTTTCCACGTTCTTCAGCTTCCTAGTACTTGTTTAATGACAGTATATCACAATATACAATGTTAGTCCATTAGGAGTACTATCACGTACCTTACACAAGATGCATACTCTCTTTCAGAGGTGTGCTGATGTAAAGGAAAATTTTAGAACTATCCTATTTTGGAGGGGGGGGGGCGGGGAAAGCTTAGCATATAACATCACTCCTGAGAAATGATTAATTAGACTGCATAAATGTGATGTCAACAAGTAGATGATTCTGTTTGCTTCTTAGTGATTGCACAGTCAAATAATTAGTCAATAATAATGTTTTAAGATATTCATTTCAAGCTCCATTAAAGAGAGCAAAATAAAAGGCTTCCAAACCATCAAAGGTATTGAGCTTCTGAAAAGAAAACATTTGAAAGCAAACAGTTTTTTAAAAGCTGTATTTTTTACTGTCAAAACCTGACTAAGAATTACTGTATTAAGTTATTAGGTTAGACTTTTAATACTAAGATGAGGTGTATTTCATGAACTAGACCATGACTCAGGAATGTCAGGGTCCTGACTTTGTGATCGATATCAAGTTTTAATATCAAGATTATCTCTGTTGCAGCTGTCAAGAATGTAAGAAATGCCATACTGGGTCATGCAGTTTTGATACCTGCAGCCCAGTATTCTGTCTCCAACAGAGGCAGCAAGAGATGGGCTCTAGGGAGAGTGCCTGGCTGCATTTTGTGATCTGTTCCTCCCCAAGCATCCACACCATTTTGTCACGGAGTTGTTAGGAAGTACCTCCCTGCCTGTTCTTCCTAGTATCTTTTTATAGACCCATTGTCTATCAGTTTGTCTAATCCTTTTTTGAACTGGCTTATGCTATTTGCTGCCTTGACCACCTGCAGCAACAGACTCCAGAATTTCACTAACCGCTGTACCAAAAAGTGTTTATTTTAAAGTTACCTCCTTGTTTCCTTGAGTGCCTTTCAATCCTGGTATTGTGGGATTTGGTGAATAACAGTTCCACATTCCCTGTATCTGCTGCCTCTCCTTCAGCCTTCTTAGTGTCTCCTCACAAGTTAGTTAATTATTCCAGCCTTTTAATCATTGTAGTTGCCTTTCTCTTATACCATCTTTAACTTCAGTATGTCCTTCTTGAGATGCAGAGAGCAAAAGAGCACTCAGAAATGAAGATGTGGGCATGTTTTTACATAGCAGCAAGACTATCTCCTCCACTCTCAATTATCTTCCTGATGATGGCCAACATTTTGTTGGAATTTTGGGTGTTGCTGCGTGTGGAGCCAAAGATTTTGGCGACCTTTCAGTGATGACTCCAAGGTCTCTCTCCTGGGTGGTAACTGCCAATTCCAAGTTAAACATCACACAGGCGCAATCCAGATTATTTTCCCCCAGAGGCATTACCTTTATCTTCACTGAAGCTCTTCTGCCACCTTTTTTCCAACTCGCTTTTATAAAGTCTTTCTGGACCTTCTTGCTATCATTGAGGCTTTTAAGTATTCCACAGAGTTCAGTATCTTCCACAGACTGGGAGACTTCACTGTGCGTCTGTTCCTGTGGTCACTGATGAAGACTATTGAAAAAAATTTTTCTGACCTTGATCCCTGAAGAGGCCCCACTGTTAGGACTTTATCCTGAAAAATGACCATTAAGCTCTGTCCTTTGCTTCCCATTCATTAATGGATCTTTTGTCCAACCCTGTGACCCTGTCCTCTCAGAGTTGAGGCAGAATTTTCCTTTAGAGAACCTATACTGACTTGTTCCCAACAGACCATGTTTACCCTGCGCTCAGGAATCTTATTCTTCACTATGGACTCTACCATCTTACTGGGGATGGAAGCTGGAATCATTGGTCTGTAGCTCACAGGCACTGTTTTGAGCCCTTTCTGTAGACAAGAATTCCTTTGGCAGTCTGCTGGTATTCTGGAATAGTGGCTGTTTGCAGTACTGGGTTACTCGGCTTGCCCCAAGCTCTGTAATTTCACATTTGCGTTCCTTCAGGACCAAGGGAATGCCATTCAGTCGTGGTGAAATACTGACCTCTGACTTGTCTAATACTTTCTAAACTGAGCTGGCTCCTCTGACCTCTCTGCTATGAAAAAAATTTGTTGAGTGGCAGAATCTCCCCAACATCTTCAACAATAAAAAATGACACAGAGATTGAGCTTCTCTGTTGTAGCCTCATCATGCTTGAGTGTCCCTTTCGCACCTTTTCCTCGTGTGGTCCCGCTGATTTGCTAGTTGACTTATTGCTTTTGAAGCATTTAAAGAACTTATAATTTTTAGCTCAAGCATGCTTACCCAAGCATTCTTCAGATCTTTTTTTTTTTTTTTGATCCTTTTACATTCCTGTTTCTGTTTGACCAATTTGTAAAACACTGACTTCTTTGTTCTTCTCATTTTGGTAAGCTTCCCGTTTCTTAAATGCCACAGTTACATCTAGGACCTCCTACTGTGCTTAGGTTTCTACTGAGTTACCTCTGGTGTGCTCACTGTCTTGCTCAGACAGCTGTTTTCATCTATACTGTTACAGTTGATCTCAAGTGTAGTTTGCAGTGTATGGGTTGTTAAAGTAAATGTGAATGTTGTTGCAGGTGGCCTCCTCTTTGCAGTTAATGGGATGCCTTATCCTGGAGAGGCAGAACCAGTGCAAGGATTTGTGATGAACTTTTCTACCGGAGAAATAATTGATACTTTCAGTCCTGTTAGAAAGGTAGAGTATTACGTAGACTGCCTGGTGCATATAATTAAGAATATGAGAATGCTGGTAACATCCTACTTCTCCACCTTTTGTAAGATGGTAGGAAATGAGGACTCTCAGGAAATGAGATGTTTCAGAATGTATTGTACAGTATGCAAAAGGAATTCTTTCTAAGATGAACCTGATAAAGACCCTAGAACTTAGGGCCTTATGTTCCATGTGCTACACATTTGAAAATTACACCACTCTCAAGACATCCTTCAGCTAGGATAAGTCTAATTTATTGTTGAGGGACAGTCCTTAAAAGCTTAATTTAAGAGAAGGATGAAGGTCTGAACGTAATCTTATATTTAGATGCTAGTAGCATGTCAAAAAAGAAAAAGAGTATATTCCTGAGCAGAGATGAAATTGAACAGTATGGCTACATCCCTTCTTTGCAGAATGTTAGTGTGGAAGTTAAGGCTAAACTTCATTCACACAGTATTGCTCAAAAGTAAGTATAAGTTACATTTACTATTAAAAAAATAATTTAAGTACCCATAAATTGTGTTAAGACTGAAGAATGAATGTTAGGCATCCCATTCTGGGTAGCATGTATACTCTGCTGTTCGCAGTCCAGCTTTAAGCCACTCCACAGAAGGATGTTTCTAACTACTGTAAGTTGCTGTATTGCATACAAACTCCAGCGGAAACTAAATGTATGAGCTTGAAACCAAGATTCGTGGTTCTATATAAACTCATAAAAGAAAATTTTGCATAGCATTTAATAGTTCTTCTGAGGGTTTGTTTCTAATGTTTTGCAACAAAGTGTTCATTTATAATTACCAAAATATTTTTTATCATTTTGAGAATCAGTGGGGATTAGATATTCTTAAGTGTTTGCACACAATTATAGATATTTGTAGGAAAAACTGCTTGTAAGCTTGAGTTTTGAGTCTGTAAAGTAAACTAGGTGCATAGTCTTCATAAGTATGGTGATCTAATATCACTCTTGAACCCAGGAATATCTTCAGAGAATGCATAAATGAAAACACTCCATGTTCAAACTTTTTTTTGTATTCTTACAAAACGTTATATACACAAGTGAAGTGTTCACTTATTTTCTCTTGAGTGCGAAAAGAGCTTAGCTGTTTCAGTTTTTCAGAATTGTTCTCAGTGGAACTCTCTGGTTTATTCTTGTTTTGAAAGGGTGACTACATTGAACTTATAGTTAGTGTTTATTTTCTGTACTGCTGCATCACTTGCATCCCATTTGGTCCATGAAGAACTTCTCACATATAGAAATACCTGTTTGGGTTGGGGGAGGGGGAGGAGAGAGAGGGGTGTATTGGAGGGGTTCAGTAACTAACAACTCATTGTGATAATGCTGTGATAAACGATATAGTGTTTGATTCTGAGATCTGAAGTAGATCACGTATTAGAACTTGCAAGGATAAGTTAGTTCACCTTATTTAGGCCTCTAGTTTACTTATTAACAGGAACAATTCTTAATATGGCAGTCCTGCTTAACAAGAAACTAGCTCTAGATTGAGTTAAGGTCTGCTGTTGTAAGTCAGAGCATCCTTCAGTCATCTGTAAAATAAGTTATGCACTTAGAAGTGGTAGGGAACTTGCTTTGGGGAAGAATGTTAATTCCTACATCTAGATTAATATAGAAGATCTTCAGGAAAGGTATTACGGCCAGAACAACACATGCTTCTTCTATAAAGGCACCCCCTTCATAGATGGGTTTCTTATTCCAGGTTCCTTGGTTTCTCAGTGCCAGGAAAGCGAAGCTCTCTTCACCTTTGGCCCTTTTTTTACTATGCTGGGGAGCAGAAGTAGTAGCTGGGAAGAGATGTTTCTTCAGAACAAAGGGAGATATTTTTCAGTTCTTCTCTGCAGTAAACTAATTTTAAATTGCAGCACAAGTAGGAGTTACCTTGGAATTTACTCAGCAAACAGTTTATTCTCATGGAAGCGCCTCATTTAATTAGTTGTAGATACCAAGGTTCAGGGCAAGAAATGAATTTGAAGCATAAAGCCAAGCAGAAGAGCCCAGTTTGCGAAAACTAAAGGCTAGGTGGCCAAATTTATTAGTATCTTGGACTCCCTTTGTTTTCTCACCTCTTATTTTAGCTTCTTCTCTCCAACTGATTAGTACCTGTGCCACAAACTTGTTGCTTTTGTGGTTATAACTAAGAGGCTATTAATAATGTAATGCTGTAAGTTACTGTTTCTTAATAAAAATCTTTTATGTATTCTAGTATTTCTCATCTATTGTGTACAATTTGTCCTACGAAAAGTCTCATATATCGTCGCTAGTAAATTATGGGATTTCATTGATTAAACTCCTAGCTTGCAAAATAAGATCTTCTGTTCACGTACTCAGTGTGAAACATTTGTAAGCAATGACACATTGCCACCGAATGCCAGCGTGTTGCTTTGGAAAAAGGAACACATTAGCTCAGACTTTTGCTAGAGTTAATAGCGAGTGAGTGATCTCATACTAATGCTTACAGCTGCTATACTGATGGCATGTTTGTATGCTGCCTCTGGGAAATTGATGCTTAAGAACGTTAACTGATTTTTGCCTAAAAGTTTAAAAAAAAAAAAAAAACCTCTGCTTGTCATTTTACAGTAGGCCTAGCCATGTGTGCTTACCAAAAAAGTCCCCCTTTAGCAAGTTACATTTCTATAAAATATAAATACTTAATCTACATAGTATTAATCTGTTCACCACCATAGCTTGTATCTGTGTATGCAGTATGCATCTCTATTAGCAATTTTAGCTTTTAAATTTAGTATTTCAAGGGATAAAATTGCAAGAATATAAATATGAATTATTTAGCATTAATAGACCTAAAAATCTCCATGTTGTCCCTAGAGAAGGCAAACAGACGCAATAGATATGAAATTCCTTTCCCTTCACTCATTTTAGGCCTTCACACCAGGATCTCGTATGGTTTCCAGTCTAAAGAGCTGTCCCACGTTCAGGGTTAAGCAGACCTTTTTATTATCTGTTTGATTGTGAACCTGTAGACTCTTACCAGTAATCTGTGACTGTTTATCTTCACAGACCTTTGAGATGCCACATGATGTTGTTGCTTCGGAAGATAAAACAGTATTTGTTGGAGATGTTCACGCCAGAACAGTGTGGAAGTTCACATCCACAGAAAGTATGTTCTTCTTGCTCTTAAGTGTCACAATTTCGCCTTTTATAGCTTCAGATAAGTAAACGCTGTAAAGAACCTGGTGGCTTAATGATAATTTTAGTATCCTGAGTTCTGCCGTAAGTTGCCTGTTACGGCTCAGTTTTCCTTAAAAGACCATTCTTTACATTCCTGTGTGCTCTGTCAAGAAGAGTCCTAGGCACATAAACCGATTTGTCACAGAAGGAGGAATCAAAATGCGCTTCCTTCACCCTGTCTCTTATCATGTCACTAGTACATGTTTAAACAAAAGCATAACTCTTTAGCCTTTTAATTATTTACATGTATCATTTGCTGACAAGCCCACCCTTTCCTTAGGGATTGTCATACAGGAAAATCTCAGAGGCTGAAATAAAGACACAAGTCCACAGAAATAAATATTCATCTCATTGCGAGTATTTACTGTTAGAAAATGAATCCAGTATAATTTGAAGTCCTATTCCTGGTAATTGGAAATACTTCCCAGTTTAATCTAGTAATCCCCCAACCAAGCAGCTTGACTTCAGGGAGAAGAACCTGATTAGTCAGACCTCAACTTGGTAGGATTCAGAGAGGGGTTAGACCTTTCATAGGCATAACAATGTAATCCACTGTTAAGTTACATAGCATGGAAAAAAAAAAACATCAGAAAGATAAAGCCTCAGGCTGCTGAGCATTAGTCAACCAGTTGAACAGTCTGCTGTTATAAATGAATTTCTGGCAACGCTAGTTATTCCATATTTGTCTGTTCATAATTCATGGATTTTGCTTTGAGGCATCTGGTTGTTTCCTTAATAAAGGAAACTGGACCAGTAAGCTCTAAGTCGGTCTGGATGTGGCTGTTTCTGCATATAGTAATGTGAAGAAGAACGCTTCTAGGCTTTTATTCAAAGACATATGAGAACAGAAAAATACTTGATTCACTCACCACTTACAGGTTAGACGAGAAGTCTCGTGTATTATTTTCTTCTTTAGCTTATACTACGGTATAAAACTGCAGTAGCTAAGTAGTCCTTATTCAGCTAGCCTTTAATCCATCATGATTCTGATTACAATTAACAGTGTTATTTTTATGGGACTCCCTGAGCCTTTACACATGCACATAAAACCTCTCTGTAGCAGGAGAATTAGTTATTATTGCAAACAACCTTCAGGAATCAAGCTTTTTTTTTTTTTAATGGGTTCTGAGATATTGAATGGTTTATATTGATTCTCCTTGGTGAAGTTCACATGCTAGCTTGACTGTTTACTGTAAGATTGTATGGTACATTTGAAAAAGCTAGAAGAAAAATGTCACTGAGTGTTTTTCTGAAATGTTGTTGTCCTGAAGAACAATTATGTTTTACAGAAATGGAACATCGATCAGTTAAAAAGGCTGGTATTGAGGTACAGGAAGCGAAAGGTTAGTATGATACATGATGAAAATGAAGGAACCACTATTTTCACATATACTATGACTGCTTGTGCTGAGGACTGTTGGAGGGAAAAACGCTCCTAGTTTGACTGCTTTGTTTGTCACCATCATTGTACGTAGTTACTCTGGATAAAGTAAGCAGACATAGGAAGCAACAGAAAGCATCTTGTTGCAGTGTTACCTCGTAGACACTGTTTTGCAGCCAATCGAAACATTTCACTTCTATTGGTGACAAGTGCTTCACAGACACTAAAATGAAAGTTTAACCAGTGAATTATTTCCGTATCACCATCTGGTATGTCCAGATTGGTATCTGTGTCAGCTTCCTTAGATGCAGAAATAACTGAAATGTGACAATGATAGTTACTCCCCAGTGCCGTTCCCCTCCCTCCCTTATGTTTATTTGAAACAGCAATTGGTTCATCTCTCTGCACGTTCTTTCAGCACACAGCCTTGGCAGTTACGCTGCATAGCAAAAAAGATCGTTCTTCGTATTCAGATTTATTTCCCTAGATTTACTACTTTTTTCAATTTATCTGCATGGAAATGAGAAAAGAACAAAAAACACGTAGGCACTTAATCAAAGGAGGTAAGGAAGTATGTATAGAAGAGGTTGAAAGGGGTAAGATGATAACTCGGGAAGGTGAAAAGTAATTATTTTAAACCGTTAATCTTCTGTCTCATAAGTTCCTTAGGTGGAAGAGGAAATGTTCATTTCCCTTTCAGAAAAGCAATACCTGGCTATTGAGAGGCCTTTGCACAATGTTAAATTGTTCTTAACTGCTTTTCTTTGATTGAATTCAGAGCTCCTGTAGTTTACTTTAGGTATGTAGACACAGAGAAATATTATGGAAAGATCCAAATTGCCAAAAGCAAACATAGAGTAGACTAAAGTAGACTGACAGTACAAAACAGTGAAATTCTTATTGCCAAAACTATTATCCTTCTGTTTCATCTCTATCGGTACATCCGTCCTCCTGAAGCACTCAGAAGAGAAGTATTACAGCATGAATGGTATAACAAATCTAGGGAGAGATGAATGCATTTGAGCTTTCTTTAGAAAGATATCGTGCTACCTCACATTTCTAATGTTATATAGAATAATGCAATAGTACCACGTGGATAAGAAACAGTTTCTAAATAACCATCTCTGAAAGTGCTTAGGATACGGAAGTTAAAATAGTCAAGAATCACTGGATGCAGATTTCAAAAACTCTTGAGACGTCAAGAGCCAAAGTTCTTTCATGGGATGTAGCAGTTCTGAAAGTTTAGCCCTTTGTCACAAATTTATTTGAAAGAACTGTAAATGCTTTCCTTTTTGTTTGTGATAATACAACATACTGGATTTTTATATTTCTTGTGGCAGTATTATTATTAAAAGGGGATATTTAATTGATATTAAATCATATGCCTATTTGCAAAAATGAATTTTTTTTCGGGATTTGCCCGTGTTTTAAATGATGACCCCTCGTTAGAGGAAAGGAGGGGGCATCCTTGCTAGGAAATGGTATCATTCAGACTCTGCCTTACTTTGGAGATAACATCAGCAAGAATTAAAATTATCTCCTTAAATGTTTGACCTTTGTTTCCTTGTTACTCAACATTTCAGGTTCCTAGCATGTTCCTTTTTTTAAACGCCTTGTTCTATGTTCCTTGATACATATGGATTGCTTTTTTTTTTTTTTAAATCAGAAACGATTATAGAAACCAGACTGAAAAACAGCCCAGAATCAACAGAGCCTCTAAAGGAGGAGGAAAAACAGCATTTGGTCCGACAGACCAGCACTGGAGTTTCCTTTATTCTTATTACAACTCTTCTAATTATCCCTATCATTGTCCTGCTGGCAATTTTAGTATTTATTCGGTGGAGGAAGACAACAGTCTATGGAGGTAACCATGAGTAACTCTAGAGAACAGGCTTTTATTATTCCAGTTCAACACATCCCTTTGCCTAAGGGACAAAGGTATGGAGAGAGAGAGGCCTATTGTCCGTTTACCCTTGTATACGGTTCCTGTGGCACTGCATGCAAATGAAGGCTCAGCGTGCATAAAGCAACCGTGTAGCCCTGTGCCTTTATCATTGCACCTCAAGCCACTGTCTTTTCAGAACGCGTACCTAAATTTTCCTTTAATTGGTGTCAAGGTAAAAATCGCTTTCTCAGAAACAACTACAGTAGAGTCATGTTATTGTCCAGAACATATTCATTTTAACACTTGGTGCGTCGTTTTATTTTTCACTTTGGGATCTTTAAATCATTGAGAGCAAAGGACCCTACCGTATGGGTATTATGAAGGTATAAGCAAAATAGAAACTGTTAAAATTTCTGAGGGAGTATAAATTACTGTTCACTTACTATCTTGTACATTTTGCAAGTTCAAACATGTTATTACATTATGTGCCTTCATCCATTGCTGTGATAGCTTTATTTAAGAGTAACAATGCTAAGTATGTAAAGTTGTCCTTAATTCGTATCATATAATAATATGCTTTTTGAGAAATTGGTAGACTGTAGTAGGACTGTAATCAATGCACTTATTTTATGTGGCATAAATAGCTTTAGCAAGTTATTCTCAAGAAGGGAAGAAAATGTATATGGAATACACAAATAACAGTTCTGCCAATACCATAGGCTAGGACGTAATATAAAAAATTAGGTAATTCAACCTTGTCACGTTATTGTGTAATTGAACTTGGTGTGTTTTATTTGAAGATTTCAGTGGGTAGCTTCCTGCTTCTTTACGTTCAAACATGTGTAGCATCAAATGTGCTAACACTCTAGACTATTGCAGTACTGTAATTCATAGTTGTAGTCTAAAACAGCATCTTTGCATTCCATTTTGAGTGATCATGCAGTGATCCATGCAGTTCCCGAATTTTCTGTGTCAAAGAGCATACTACAGTTACATTAGTAAAAGTAAACTTGTTCCCCAGACTCATGGAAACTGAGTAGTATATAGAAAAAGATGGTTTGGCCGTGGTGTTTTATTTTCCTTCAGATGAAGGATAGGAAGAGTTACCAGGATTGGGGCAGGGGGGAGGGTATCTTTTTTGTTGTTGTGGTGGTGGTGGTTGTTTTTTGGTTGGTTGTTTTTTTTAGGAGGGGTAGAAGAATTTCCCCCAGGATACCTGAAAAAAATCATAAATCACTGTCTCCCAGAAAACCAGTGTTCTCTTGCTCTCCCCGTAAAATCTTCAGAGTAACATACGTGAACGGTTGAAAAAAGTGACGTTCTCAGAAATAACTTATATGTGAGTCGTCTTACTAGCTGGAGCAGCATAAAGTGAACATTCATGGTACAATTTTTTTTTGTTAGGAATTGTAATTGCGCCTCAACAGAGAAGCTGGAATTTGTCAATTTTGTTTCTTAGAACTGCTGATCAATTTGTTGAATGTCTGTGCTTTGTATCAGAAAATACAGTTAACTATGTAAACATAGAATATGGTTTTAAACTTATTTTTGAAATCTCCCTTATTTTCCAGGCGATGCAGAACACAAACTTGATTCAAGTTCAGGCAGAATTTTAGGCCGACTTAGAGGTAAGTAACATTCAAGAGCTTTTAAGAACCCAGTGACTGAAGTTTGTTTCTATATTTGGTTCTAGTTGGATACGAGATTTGAGATCTGGGAATAAAACTTTCTCAGAGCAAAGAGAGGCAGCAAACCTCAGATACTTTATGAGGAAATGTCTCCAACACCACCTTTCATCCATCAACATCTGCCCACTGAAGAGGATGTGTCACTACTGGTGGGACTCCAATAGCTATTGTAATGAGTTATCTGTGTGTCTCGTGGACGAAATGAAGAACTTCAGGATTATGGGCAAACTGGTGGGAATACAAACAGCCTGGGTAAAGGCTTTTAATCAAATCATGGATGCTGAAAAATTCTTTGGAACTTTTACTTGAAAGGTGAATTTCCTTCCTCAAAGGTGAATTCGTGGCTCACGTGCTGGCCTTTTAAAATGGTTTGTAGAAGGACACTTAGAATAACCTCCACTATAATGTTGAATGAGTAGATACATTTTTCCCCGCTTCCCAGTAAAGCAAAGCTTATGACAAGTGTTTCCTTTCCGCAGGGAAAGGTGGTGGTGGCCTTAACCTTGGTAACTTCTTTGCAAGTCACAAAGGCTACAGCAGAAAGGGGTTTGACCGGCTCAGCACTGAAGGAAGTGATCAAGAAAAAGATGAAGATGATGGCACGGATTCGGAAGAAGAATATTCAGCACCTCCACCCCCACCAGCACCTTCATCATCCTGAAACCAGCCTTTGAGTTCTCCATTATATGATTCAACCCAGAATGTCAGATTCCTTTTCCCTTGAGCACGTTTAAAATTTTGTGTATTTAATTGTAAACTGTACTAGTCTGTGTGGGGCTGTACACTGGTTCCTTTATTTTTTGTTCAGGTTTAATTCTGTTTGTTTTTTTTAAGTGGAGGAGTGTATGGAAGTTTCATATCAGTGCCGTTGTTTTTATGTGAACATCTTAATAAAGCAAACAGTCTTCTTTTAATTGCAGCACTGATTTAAAGCAGTAGTATTTTCTCATCTCAATTTTGGGACCTTTTCTGTATTTGTAAATAAGTCCCATTAATCTGCTTTATCCAAATATTTTTCCCCATAACTCTTCAGTTGCCATATTTTTTTTGTGCCTTTCCTCTTCAATGTCCTTAACCTGTTGCAGTACAGAGAAAATACAGTGCCACAAGAAAATGAAGCTGCTAAATCTTCTTCTATTTTTTTAAAATCACTAACATTATATTGCATTGAAGGAAAGAAAAAAGTATCTATTTAATTTTTTTCTTCTTCCTGACTTGATGTGTTTCCGGGATGTCTTATTTTTAGATGGTATCACTGTTAGAACACTATTTTCCAAAGCTGAATGTAATTTGTGTAATAAAGTGTTCGCAGAGCATTAGCTGTCAGAGTGTACTTTGGAATTTTTGCATACTTCAAGGTTTTTGTATACAACTTTTGTAAAAGTTACACAAACCACTTAATACAGTGAAAATTTTAATGTCTTCTACCAGCAGAGGAAAAAGTGCTATTTTGTATGGAAGCTGGAAAATATTTTCCTATGTCACAAGTTTTTTTCTTTCTTTTTTTTTTTTAAGCAAGCCTAATTATTTCCATACATGTACAAAATCAAGCTTAAACATTTAAAAAGAAATTTTATTTGTATATTAAAACTGCAGGGCATTTACTTTAATAAAACATGGTCACAGCTAAGAGGAAACCTGTGTCTCAAATTACATATGCAAAGGAGTCAGGGTAGGCATCTTATACTACCTGATTTGTAGGGCGGGTTTTCCTGCTTCTCCACACTTCCTTATTCCTTGATACAACAAGAGTCTTCATTTCAGTAATATGCTCACTCATGCCACAAGAGATTTGCAGAAGACCTGCTAATTATTGTGGCTGTATGAGTCATTTAAAGTGTGAATCATGGTGTGACATCGGGCATGATTTGTCAGCCTAGTCTAGGATCAGAGCGTGATTAATGTCCTTTTGAAACCTGTATACAGCTGCAATTGCTACAGGGTTTTATGAAGGACTTTCATTATTGCCGTTGCGGGTGTTTAAGAGGCTGTTGCTAGTGTTGAAAAGAGAGCTGGAAAAATAGGTTTGGGGTTTTGGGAGGGTGGGAGGGGCAGGCAGTGGTTTTCAGAAGGTGGTATTTGAGGGAAGAAGGGCAAGGGTCCTGGAGCAAAAGGTAAGATTCCTCCCCCAAACCGGCAAGATTTTTATAACTCTCCTCTTTTTGGAACAAAACTTAAAATCCTTGATAGGTTGTTATTTCTCAAGAATAGCAAAATCTCCAGGATAGTTTTCTAAAATGCTGGAGTACAGATTCTGTTTCATGATGTTTATAATTAGCTCGTATGCTAAGTGGCTTCCTTTCCAGCTAATTTATATTTTCCTACGTTGCAAGGAAAACATCCTGTTTCTGACTCCTTTGTGAAAGAAAGGCAGTGTTATTTTTAGCTATGGACCTGACTGCTTTGTGTATGAATAAAAAGGAATAGGACAGGTAGGAAGGATCTTTTAGAACTATCTTTAAAGAAGAAAGCATTATAGAGGAAATTTTCTATGAGAGCAGTTAACTTACAACAAAGCGAGCAGAGGTGGTGGTGCAGGGCCTCAGCTCTCCAAGATCATAGACTTATCTCAGCTTCCAGTGGACCAGGTCAACTGCCTCCTTCCTCCTCTTGTTGATCCTTGTGTCCACTAAAAAAAAAATAATGTTTTATTGTTGGTGGGAGGAGCTGAACACAGTTTAATTGCAAGTACAAGCTAAGACAGACTAATTCAGCATTAATCATGGTCCCTGCCCTCTAGGAGTCGGAGGTTGGTCTGGGCAAGAAGCCGTGGGGAGGCAGCTGGGTTTACAGGCAACCACCTGCTTTCCAGCAGCAAGCAGTGCACTTCAGCATCTCCGGAGGAAGGTCGTATGCTCGAATTTCACGCGCGCGTAGCGTGGCAGGACACCTGGCACCAGTGCTTGAAGGCATTGGATGATCTTTATCGCCTGTTCTTATCCAAGCTGCATTTTAAGAATATAATCTACCAGTTACTTCATAATGCAATAGAAAAATTGTATAAAAAGAAAAGTACATGCTTTCTTTTCTCATAGCTCTAATTTTAATAAGCTAGCAGCCGGTCCTCTATCCCAGCAGGTTATATAAGCTAATACTGTTATTTATGTATTAAATGTTGAATACTAGTTATTTGATACGAGATAGTGGATTCAGAGCAAATGTATTTATTTTAGCTACAGCAGTTTTCACAGGGGAAACCGTATTTTTTAACAGGCAACATTTAATTGCCCGTTTTAAGATTTCAAAGTCACAACACTTTCAAGAACTGCCAATTAAAAATCTTTTCTCAAGCCTCTGTAAGTTGGAAGAAATTAAGCCCTCGTGTAAGGGCTGAATATTTTAATATTTTCATTAAAATTAAGCTGATTAAGGAGCTAAAAAGCTTTCCGTATGATAAGCGCATCGAGCATCTCCCTGTTTTGAACAGTTTGCCATACTGGAAGTCCCCCAGAGTGGCAGGAAGGTGGCTGCTATCCTCCGGTCACTAATGATGGGCAATTTTCAGTAGCTCCCTTTGAAGCAGCTATATGGGAGGGCAAGATGCCACGAGGAGAACAAACTGAATTTTAACGTGTGTGCAGGCCTAAGCAACACCAAGTCATCTGAAGGTGTCCCAATTAAATGAAATTACCATCCCAGTTAAGCAGCTGTCCTTGCCACAAGTATCGTTAGGTATAAATTGATTCCTTGGGAAGCAGCTTGATTAAGTATGGAGTTTTCTAACTAAGCAGTGCACTGTAGTCATTGATGAAGATTTATAGATCAATACAGTAAATTGCAACAGTTTCTTGCTTGCCAAATCTAGATTTATTTGTGTCTCATCAAAACTTTTAGGTCGGTTATGTCTGTTGTGCTACAGAGGATTAGGATTAAGTGTGGGTCACAGTACAGAGAAGGGAGTTTAGGGACTTCTGCCTTGCCATTGAAATACATGTGTGTGAACTATACTACTTATGTATTAGCAATAAAGTTTGGGGGTGGGGGAGGGTTAGGTCACCGCTGAGCAATTCAAGCCTAACTTTATTATCTAATTGCACGTTAAGACACTTAATTTTGAAATAGGGTGTTATGACATATTGCATGGTTTGGACTCTTGGAATGTACTGAGTGTGCAAAGTAAGCAGAAATGGCAAGATGATACCATTTCCGAACCTAGGCTTTGGGAGGCAAAACACCAGCATGCTGGTGACATTACTTCTTTAATGTACAATACAAGGAATACCGAAATGTCCCTGTCAATTGAATTTGAGAGCAGAAATTAGGCCGTTGTATTTTCTATTTACAGTAGATACTAATAAACCTTCGAGTTGGGTTCTAGCACCCTATTTTTCCTTTGGTTATGAACAAATGTATTTTTAATTCTTAAAAGCAAAAATATTTTTGCTCCTTTGTGAGTTATCAAAACTTGTTAGCAAAATTTACACTGTGATATAACCACTGTTCAAATTCTTCTCCAATTCCTGAGAAAATGTAGCTGCATAGCTAAACTTCAGTGGCAGAAGAAAAGAGGGGAGCTAACAGTGTGGGAAGAGGATTTTCGATCTGCAAAGACAGCTACTAAGCCAAGCAAAAACTGCAAACTCCTTGCTGTTTCTAGACGTTGTGGATGGAAAACCCAAAGGAGCATCCAGCTGGCTTTGCTGCACGAGCGTTTGGAGAGGTACGTGGGAGAGGTGCCTGGGAAGCACTCTGGGAGTTGCACGAGAATTTCAGTACTTCTGGTCACGAAGGTACCTTCCCTCAACTCCTTTCTTTAGCTCCCTTCTACTGGGGTTTATTGTTAATTAATTGCATCTGAAGCAGGGCATTCTGCAGCTAAAGTACTAGCTGATTTCCTTGTACAACTTTAAAAAAAGACAGAGGAGATGCAGGGACAAAGTCTTCTAGGGAACTGTGCCAATATTTATTGTTTTCCTCAGCCATGGTGTATTCTAACACTGTCTCCCATGTTTATTGTTGTTCTCCTTAGCCATGCCATATGCTAAAACTGCAACCCAAGAAACAATTATTCGCACTGAAAAGGACTGAATCCCACACTGTTGCTGTTTCTTCTTGAGTTGGTTGGGTCTTCTACGTCAGACGCTGTGCCATGCTTGTCGAACTGCAGGGGTGGCCTTTTTCCAGGCACCTGTATGTGAGACCTTGCTGAGAGCCACCGAGGTTTAAGTGAGCACTAGCAGGTACCAGGATGCCAGGGACACTGCTACACTGTAGCCGGTGTCTGGAGCAATTGGCGGTGATGGTACAAGCTATCTAATGCACAATCAGATTATTTTTATATTGTATCTTATGTGAAGAGGCAGCTGTGCAACCTTCAAACAGGGCTCTTGGAAATGCATTTATACTCCCATGATTAGCATCTGGTTCCAGTTTCTGTTTTGATGTTTCCCAAACCATCAGCAAAGTTTTTACTAATTTCCTCTATCTGAAGAAGCAAACGGCCATCGTCACAAAATTGATGGCCACATGCCTGTGCTATTTCTCAAGGAACATTTCTATCTACCTGGACATACTATATTTCTCCTCACTCCTCCACGTGAAGACACCCTGTGAATTAGTCCTTGATTTAGCTGTTAGCAGCTCCTGGCAAATCTACCATCAGCAAAGAGTACACTTTATAGGTTGTTCTTAACCTGCTGGTAAGGGCCACAACCATCCTCCCTCTGCCTCCTTCCTCCCTCCCTCATTTCTAAAGGATTCTCCTTCTGTGCTTGTTCTAATCCAGCCTGCTGACAAAATCAGAAATGTTTTGAAATGGCCAGATGCAAAAACTGTACGTCAGGCTACAAGCAGGCTTGGAATAAACATGCTAAATAAAGATCAGAACTGCTTTTTAGTTAACACGTTAAAAAACGCTGACAACCATATAAAGAATCCCCAAATATTAAAGTACCTTTCCTGAGAAGGTAGTTTGGCAAAGAAAGACTCGGGAAAACAAACCACTGGGCAGCGGTTTCTACAGGTACGGTGTTTTCGTGGTCTCGGTGGCTGACCCAGGGCCTGGTGTGCGGAGCAGGCTCCTGCAGGGAGACACTGCCACCGTGTGACCACACTAGCGGGGAAGCAGGAGCGAGGTTTAAGCGCAAGCCAGTTTAGGTATCCGCATGCTAGAAAAGCCCTGAAGTTTGTGGAGTCAACCATCTGGAAGTTCAGAAACTAAAGAATTAAGTTGGCCAGTGTAATACCGTAACCATCTGCTAAACTCTATTCTGTTGCTATTTAGTCTGCTCTTCTTTTTCTAGGTCTTTAATTTGTGATGGTGATAGATAATGTCTCTGACGGCATAAATATTCAAGAGCAGGTTTATCCATTTGATGGGATAGCCCGTGTATTATTTACTGCATATCGCTGAAACTCTGCACTAAATATAGAATTCATTTTCTTGTGGGCTTTTCTATGGGGTTTTCATTGCTATGCCTGACAGCTCTGTGAAGAGTTATGAGTATTTTTTTGCAGCATGCCTGGGAAAGGACAGAGTGCTATTCACTTTGTACAGGAGGGGGAAGTGAGGCATGAAGAGATTTCAGGCATAAATTGTCAAAAGCGTCAACTAACTTGGAGTACTGCATTTGTGAAATCTGATTTATTCTTTTTAACCCATTTAGTCTTAAATGTCACTTTGAGGCAGTTCTTGCCGCCAGCTGCAGCTCTACTCCAGCTTTGCTGAGCAAAGCGCAGAGGTTCAAATCAAACGCCCAGACAACACCCTCCCGATTAACAACTGGTAAGTTATGAAAGGCCTTATCCAAGCGATATGTGGAGCGCTGCAGTGAAAATCTACAGCAGGGCAATATTGCCTGGCAGACTCAGACTGCTGAATTTCCTACAGCCTTGAGTCTTCCTGGCTTGTTTCATGGCATACCTATTTCTGCTATCAACACGGCAGGGTTCCTGCAGACCCCCTCTGTACACGTCGTGCAGCCCCAGGGTAACACGAACTGCACCTGACTGCAGCCAGGAGCCCTGGGGGAAGAAGGAAGTGTGAACCCACCCTCAGGGACAGATTAATAGGCAGCTCAGGCAATCTGAGCCTGGTCTTCTGTGCACTTGAGCTTGCAAATGTAATATTTGCCTCTGTGCAAGTAGTCAGACCGGAGGAAGGGAGAACCGACTGGGGAATGCATCTCTCAGGATTAATAGTTTCTGAATCAAATGTTTTAAAATTAAGTTACAGACTAGTTTGCTGCTACTTCTCTCTAGCACAGGCTTCCTTTTCAAATTAAAGCTTGTTTGGTACTATTCTTCTTTCCAAATGTCTGCAGAACTTGATTACCAAGGCTTCCACAGTAGGCTAGCAGGTCTCTTAATATGGGTAGAACAGTATCATACCTACTTCTCTGAAGACACTGCTACATCCTGTATATCCGTATCAATTTTAGCCTTCTAATTTCAAACAGCATCTGTTCTAAGTGACTTTTTAACAAAAATGACATCTCCTTCTGCCAAAATAAGAGGCAGGCAGTGTGCTCTTAGGTTAGGCCAAGAGATGACAGCTGCTGATGTGCCTTGCTGAGTTTTCACCACCTGGTGAGATTCTAGAAGTTGTATTGTTTTATTTTGCGCTAGTCTAATAAATTAATTGAAAGCTTTCACTCCATTCCCAAGAGAAAAAAAATTTCCATTATCTATTTTGAAAATGCCAAGAAGGTTACTGTGGGAACAGGTTTTGATGCTAGGTCATTAAAATACCGATGTCTGCTGCAAAAGGTCATTGATATGGACGTTGCACCCAAACAAATGAATAAAGGAAACTCATCCGGTCCTGGTCCTCAAGAGTGACATTTCCAGATGATTTGTTAACTGCTTGCTGTGAAAAGCAAATCATGACTCATCAGTGCCCTCCAGCAGGGAACACTCAGTTCTAGGAAGGAAGAGGGAGAAACTTTAACATGTTATATATTGTCTAACCTGAAAAGCAAGAGCACCTTAGCACAGAATGGGCAAGCACTACACAAAAGTTCAGAAAGCAGCCAAATAAGAGAGTTGCGGTCTTTGTTCCATACTTAACGCTCAGTGTTTGCACAGAAGCTTTTCCCTGGAGGAAAGTGTCTTTTTGGGCACACTTTTCATCTGACTATGACCTGCTAATTAATCCTTCTAGCAAACCTAAAGGGTAAATGTTGGTATTTCTGTGCTGGGAGGTGTAAGTGAACTTACACTTTTTCCCTTTGTGGTGCAGTCCCTTCTTCTATTCCTCCTCTCTAAGCAATACATCACAAGGGGGCACACATTCTAAGTTCCAGGACTCCAAGGCTAGGAGAATGGTCTTTTGCTGTTGTCCCGTCGTAAATCAAACTTGCGTGCCAGTGATGGAGGTGACAGATGGGCATTTTTGTATTTATCCAAGCTGGTTAAAATACAAACCACGAGTAGGCAGGTCAGGACTCACGGGCTGTCACAAGCAGGCGTTGCTCAGCGTGTATCTAAGGCAATGGCACAAGGGATTTCCCTGAGCTTCCCTGAGCACATTGTGCTGCTTGTAACTTCTCAAGTTTCCTGTTGGTTTTTTCATCTTCCAGTTTTCCTCCTGGTTCTTTTTGGCATCATTAATTCGAAACCTCTGTATTTTATCTCAATAAACTTTTATATGCAGAGAAGACCCCCCCCATTTAGGTGAACTGAAGAAGCACACATTACTTTTATTACCTTAGAGCTTCCCCCTCCCTCTGCCACTCTCTGCATTACAGCTTCATTGTACTGTGTGCAAATAAAGAACTGACCTGCTGCAAAAAAAAACATGGGGTAGGTATGTACTGCTGTAACAGAGCAGAAGGGCATCTTGGAGACGGCTCTCTTCTCCTCTACCTCATTTTATCTCTGACTCTGAAAGAACCCACATTTTAGGAGGAAATGGCTACAGGCCAGGCTAAAGATGTAGTATTAGACAGCCAAGACTAAGTTATAACAAGTTTATCCCAGCAGAAGATGTCATTTTGGGTAGCAATTCCAATGAAAGAGTTAAAGGTTCATAGGGAGCAGGAGGGCTGGCTCAAAGAATCAGGGCCTCTGCTAAGAAGGATTAGTGTAGTAACAGATCACCTGCCAGCTCATTACCATGACGTGCACCTCCTGAGCCCCTGGATCCAGCCACAGCTCCCAAACAGAAGATCTTTAAATCAGCATTGCTGGAGAAAAACACTATCTGAACACACAACTCGTTACAAAAGAAAAATCAAGGTAAGACCACTGCTTACAATTACCAGCTATTTCCTATTTACGAGCACACATTATTTGTGTCTTTTTTGTTTCAAATACAGTTTAACAGAATGTTGCTTGTTGGAATTTTTTGGTAAGTCTTCTCTCTTTTTAAGCAAGAGAAATGTATTTCACCAAGCCCACTTGCTTTCTTGACTGCATTAGAAAAATCATTATAACGATTACTTGCCTCAGAGGACACTATAGCTTGGGGGTAAAAGCAATTTATATAAAGATGGGCTTTTAAGCTTGAGCATGTTTGTCAATGAATAACACAAGCCTTGTTCATCTTTGTGCTCAGTGGAGTTGAGGTATAGGAGGAGCCTGTTAGGATAGCATATCCAACTGTCTTTGTTTGGTACATTCTTCTAAAACACTGTCTCAGTGGGGAAAAAAAGTGTATGTAGGACTAGATTTTTGGAAGATACAAAGTAGTTTCTGAATATTAAGTATTTTTTCAAAGGCATCTTAGGATGTTCTGTGCTTTTCTTACCTAGCCTTGGCCTGTGATAGGCCATCTCATAACCCAGGTATGAATTTCTGTATGAGTCCAGTATCTAAACAGCCTTGAAGGCCAAGTCTTCCTATCTAAGATTAATGGAAAACTCTTGCTCTCATCAGTTTTCCATATGAAAGAATTACTCTTCAACTGACTTTCAACAGTAGATAAATTTTGCTCTTACTTTGAGATGGAGTCCTCTTAGCCCGGGCTAATAGCAACTCGGTCAAGGCATTCAGAGAGTAACTAACATCAGTCCTTCACCTTTGTTGGAGCACTGTCAGTGGAAGAAGGGGAATTCTCCTCCAAACCTGTTGTAGCTCTGAGAAGTAACAGTAAGGGAAATCAGAGGCTTGGGAAGAGAGCACAAACAAGTGCTGAGCACTCTTAAGATTTAGCTTGCCTGAGAGACTAAAATTGCTCTCCCTGGTAGAGTTTTGATGAGCATGCAGCAGCTGCAGGCCTTGTTGTTTCATGTGCAGAACAGTGCCTGTACGTGATTTTGGCAGCTTTGCTGCTCTGTGAGATCTTAGGGCTATGGGCTAAACTAGAGATTAAAAGCTGTTAAGGTCAGAGTTTGCAACTTCTCAGAAAGAATGGGAAACAGTTTTACAGCAAAAGAAAGGAGGACACGAACTTCTTTACCCTTCTGGACTGGAGGTAAAATTTATGTTAAGTTGCTTAGATTACATTTATCCTGCAATATCTCTGCATGTTAGGAGTGAGTCATCTGAGGATTAATGAATGAATGAATGATTTCATCAGAATGAAATAATGTGATGCGCCCTGAGATGATAAACAGTGAGGTAGGGCCACACTGCTGTTCTACAAACATACTGAAATTCAACTGCATGATGATAACGTGCTTTTTCTAGCACGTTCTAGCATATTTCTGACAACAGAGGCATTGCTTCTTAATGCCCATATCAGTTAACCACTGGACATCTGCAGCTTTCTTAAATACATACAGTAGTGAAGTGAATTTGTCTGAGGAACTTGGAGCTATTAAGACTGTTTCAGTCTGCCACAGAAGTTCAAAACTATTTGCCAGTAAACGATGACGTGCAATTATTTGCTTAAGTATCTTCTATCTTGGTCTGAAGCGTCCAGCAAGGTGAAGGCCACTGCTCTGGATGTGCGTTGTTTGGTTCAATGCTACCATCTTTCGTTAGCTCAGACTGATGTTTATGTTCTGTTGATTCTTGGTCTTTGCTGGCGGCAGATGGTATTTGCGCAGCAGACATGACACCTCTTGCATAGGCATTCATCTCTCCTTCAACAATGGGGTCTTGCTGGCATGGATTATATGATCTTTCAGAAAAGCCAATATAGTCGTGGTCAACAACTATTGCACCTTGTAAGAAGTAATGGTTGTCTGTAAAAGGAAAATACCTTTTAAAGCAGATTTTTCTAGTTCAGTAAAAGTCATTGATGTACTTAAACACAAACAAAATAATATTAAGATGTTTGTTAACTTACTTTTCAAAGCAATTTCAATAATAAGGCAAGAATGTTTAACAGCAGTCAACAGCAGTTTGATAATACGGATTTCCTAGTTTCACCAAGCATCAAATGTTCAGTTACATCTTGTACATCCACGAAATAGTGCTTGCACTGCTTCACGTTAACAGTTTTTCTTTGCAATGTCAATCAACTAGCTTGAGGTCTGCCACAGTCACCTACTTAACTAACACCTGAAATGAATGGATATGTGGCTTCTTCTATTCTGTGCATCCTCACATAGAAAGAAGTAGTTACTCTAGACTCTCGCTAGGAAGTCTCAGTGCAGCATAGTTTTTGGGGTTTTTTTAATAGAAATTAAGAAACAAAATTATGAACCGTACATGTTGAGAACACAGATTTTTAGAAATTAGAGAATGATGTTGATTGTTACTGTATAGTACCACTGGATATTTCTTCTATCTGATATGTGGTGAAGTGTTTGATTTGTTCCCAGTCAGTTCCAATAAAATGAAAATTGCCTGACCTGTTAATTTAGAAATGTAATACTTAATGTGGGGTTAACACTTTCTTGTTTTGAAAGATGATGTTAAGGCCTGTTTTCTTGCTCACACGAA